CCCCAAAACCCCAAAACCCCAAAACCCCAAAACCCCTTTTATTTCCTAGAAGGTTGAATTGGAACATAATTAGTAAACACCTCTGAAGCGATTCAAATAGGTTCTTACGATTGTAGAAAATTATGATTATTTTGAAAAATAAGCATCCAAGTCAATAGCACTGTTTCGGTTTGAATAGTTTTCTTAATTTGTAGAACAAAAGTTTTGGATCGAGTTCCTATTATCAATATTTCAAAGATACACAAGAAGGTGTTTGAAGTATGCTGCATAGGAACCTCTAGCAGAGGTTCTATAATATCCATGAGAGCTTGATTGAATTCATAAGGCCTAGGATAGATTATTCGCCAAATTTTTCACACTTATTACAGCCGGTTATGGAAGAAAATTTCAAAATTAAGATATTTTCCTAGTTTTATTAAGAGTAAATGGAATCAAAGTTAGAAATTTTTCAAAGAAATTTCTCAGACTTCTTCTTAATATCTTTCAAAAGCAATTAACTTAGATATCTGGACTATCTTTATGAATAGAATCTTAAAAATAATTATACTGTTTCTTGGGGTATCATAATTTATCAACCGTTGAGTAAAATCAGCCTTGGAATTTTCTAGCAAAAACTAGATCTAACTTAATTATAGACTTTTTCCTTTTACAATAAGATCCCTGACAGCAATCAATTTCATAATTTTTCTTTTCTTCTAGACGAAAATTTTGGCTTTCAACTTAATAGATAAGTCTTTTAGGATTTGACAATTTATTACAGTTTCATTTATACCAAAGCAACAAGATAGACAGAAGGTGTTATAGAAGAGTAGTTGATAACGGCTTGTAAACTGCACCAAAGCTTCTTCGCGTTGAGATGCACTGCCTCATTGTAAAAAGTCTAACATTTTTGGAAGAAGTGTACCTATTTTATACAGAATTGCTCCTAATTTAGTTAAATTTGGAGAAATTCTTATTTATTTCAGAAAATTTCTACTGTTTTATCATTACAATAAATCTCTCTCAAAGGACTCTTAAGAATAATTTACTATCTGGAATTGGTATAAACCTAACGATTTTAGTACTCAATATTTTAGCAAAACTAGCTTATTATTACTCCAAAGGTTTTAGAGATCATCATTAAAGTTTACTAGTATAGATACACCATCAGCAGATAAGAAATAAAAATCAGAATCAGGACACCCGAGGGCTTAATAAAATATTAGAACATCGTGAGATAGAAATAATAGGGCTAGACTCTATTTTATAAAGAGGCAATTGAAAAATTTTTCCTTGGCATACTACTGAGGCTCAATTCTAACTTCGGGTTTTGAGCATTAGAGAAAGATCAAGACACCATGACAAAATGAAACGATATAAGAAGAAAAAAAGACTTTAACAACAATTATGAGTGTATTTCAATTTAAAGTGAGTTAAGGATTGTGTTAGATCTAATTTGAAAACCTCTGTAAATATCCTCTAATAAAATCTGCTAAGATTGATTTAATAGTTTTTAGGAAAATATTAGGTTTATTGGCTAAGCATCCCCACATCTGAGACAATTCCACTAAGAATTAAGACTTTTTGTGAAGCTGGAAGAGGATTCTTGATGAGGAAATCATTTTGCTCATCTCACATTTTTCTTTCCAATTCAAGGACCTTGTTTTTTCTGAGTTCTTAGGGAAGTGAAGTACATCTCTTGGTGAAGATTTTTTGAATTTTTTCGAAACTTTGTTATAAGACTCACAAGTTTTTGAATTTTGGGGAAGTATAGAAGCCTGCTTTGATGAGATAAGGCTTCTTCTCTCAAGTTTACCTCCAGATTTTTGAAAGGGATAGTTCTCAGTTAGCATAGGATAGTTCAAAATGGTCTTCCCACTTTTTGATTTTTTAGTGATATCTTCAAGAGCATTTGCATTTCCTTTCCAATGATAAACACTATTTTTGGAAGGAGACTCATTGTACTCTTCAGAGACAATTCAGGAAGAATCGTCCCAAAATTGATTTTTTGGTGAATTTGTTTTCATTGTAATAAAGTTTTAATTATAATTCTCTATTCCAATGCTTGAAATATATATGGGGTTTTGGGGTTTTGGGGTTTTGGGG